GTGACTGTTTGATGAATGCTGAAAGGATCAAGTGCAGAAGTTCAAGGTCAAAAGTGTCATGTTTCGGAAAGGATAGCACTGGCAAGGAGTATTTCAAAACATTGATTTACAAGGTAACCTCTTAGTGTGACCATTCTGTGGGAGTCTAAACAAACAAATGGAAGAACATGAAGGTTCCTTTAAAATTATTTGGATTGATTGCTTTCAGAAGGCCTGAACATCTGCTTTGAAATTTACCACATTCATGAAAAGATATATGCTTCTTGTAGTGAGGACCATTTGGCCAGGCATAGTGCTAGGCACTTAATATGCATTATCTCTAATACAATAAGCTTCAACTGACAACCACTGATTTAGAATTCCCATTTATCTGTATAAATTATTAAAACAAACAATTTGAAGTTTATATTTTAATTTTCTTTTTGAAAGTGCATACTTCTGGATTTAAGGTTTCATACTTTCTCAGTCTTTATTAACAGATACTTAGGAATTGGTTACTCCAGTATTTTTTTCAAATTCACAAATTAGTACTTTTGTGAATAAACAGCTGTCTTGTGAATAGACCAAAGAAATATTTAATACCTTTGCTCTATAGTTCACTATTTGCAGCTTCTGTTCTAAATTTAATTGATTCAAACTGTGTGTAAATTAAAGTTGCATACGCAATGAAATATGTGGTACTAGATATAGACAGAATTGCAAATACAAAGGACATGAATTCATATCTTTTTCAGTCCCCAACTCCATAGAGTCTTTAAAATGCCTTCCTCAAAATAAGAATATTAATATTTCCAGAAGTGTGACATTCCAATGAATGGAGACACACTGTAGATAAACATTAACAACAAAATAATTCTTTCACCTATAGAAATGTCTACAAATTTATTATATATTTTTGTTTATTATTGTCAAGATAATTTTATACAATAAAAATAATAATGAGCACATATTCATATTTTAGATGCATTCGTTGCTATTTTTAAAAATGAAGAAATTAAATAGCTGTTTTCTCAAGGAAAATATTTTAATTTGCTTTACAGATGAAACATATTATATTTGCCAGTTTTGATTTTGCACTATTTGCAAATAGTACTCTTGTTGCTGAGCATGTACAGATTGGTACAAGTAAAATATTTCAGGACTAATCCAGATTTTAAAAGCAGAAATATTAGTCACAGATACTTTTTAAGAGGTAGCTTCAATTTTTGTTTCTCAATGTCAGTGCTAGATTTGGAGGCAAGCATCTATTTTAGAATAAAGCAATTCAGCATTTCACTTAGACTCATGAAATGTTATACCCTTGTGTCATGGATCAAGTTCTTCTGGAAGTGAACTCTGAGACATTATTGGGGCGGTGGTTCTTGGGAACATCATTTGTGAGGAGTGAAGGATTCAGGATTGGGAAGAAGAAGTTGGACTGCGATGTAGCCATAATAGACGCCTCAGTTTCTCCTAGATCCTACAAGGAGCTTTAGAGGTGAAATAGAGCTTCAGAGTTTTCCTGCCTTGAGGCAAGGGGGTGAAGCCATAAAACCCCTGCATTAATCAGTCACTGCATGGGGCTACCAACCCCTCAGCTGGGGAGTGTCACCTTAAGTGAGGCAGCTCCCTTTGACCGAGGGAAATTTGTAATGAGGATCTCAGGTGACAGGTGCTGTCAGCCACCAGTACTCCAAGCAGCTGGAAGAATGAGTGCTTCAGTCCTGAAGGGGCCTCTGAGAATCACACCACAGTGTCCACCACACCGTATTTGCATAGCAAGTGGGCAAGGAATATGTCTTCTTCTTTTCTATAATCTTGTAGGTTTCTTTCTTCAAACAGGTTAAAAGGGATGAGCTCAAATATTTTCCACAACTTTTGAAAGTTTTACAAATCTTCTTTGATCTTTTTTTCTTTTTTAACCCCTAAGAAGGAAATTTCAGTTGCTGTATTGAGAGAGGTCCTGGAATTGTATGTTTACATATAAATGAAATTCATATCCTGGATGAGAAAAAGGGGGAATTAAATTTATCTAGCATTCAAAGCAACATATTTTAATTCTTTTGCCTCCCATTGTGGTAGGTAAAAAAATAAGCTTGAGCTATTCCTTAGCTTCTTTGGATATCCTGAACCAGAGGAGGACTTAAATAATTACAGAATACATTCCTGCTAAATTGCATTCTTTTTTTTTTCCCTTTTTGTCTTTTTTCGTGACCGGCAGCGGATCGCAACCCTCAGTGTTGCGCCCGTACCG